GGATGAAACAAAATTTTCGACACTTAGTGGTCATTTGACAATATGCTTATTGACTGAGTCTAGTCAGGCAGGGCAGGAAAAATTACTCAATCAATAAGTACATAATAAGCCACTGTACTTTGCTGACTCTTTATACTTCTTGAAGTTATCAGGGAAAACTTAAGGATGGAAGGCCTTGACTTGAGGAATATTTTAACTAATACAGGTAAAATCAGTTTTTTAACAATATAGTTATCTTATAGCACACAGGAAATGAGAATAGACAAACCAGACAGCTAGTTGGAGTTAATGCATGCCTTCTGGAAGGGAAGGTTGTGAGTCATATCTTGACACTTACATGTAAGAAGGGGTGAGGTCAGATGAACTTACCCCTCCTGAAATAGGCAGCAATGATTCACTCAGGAAAAAGTCGTTAATATCAAAAGGCTTGGCATTTTGTTTATGGCTGTCATCAGCTGTACCATTTACATTTTCTTTAGCATCTTTAGTTTTTTTGTTCTTTTGGCCACCTGCACCATCTTGGGATGGACTACTGCCTGTTGTAGCTGAAGAACTCTTCACTTCACCATTCATGGGGGCTTTCTTACCAACTAAAATAAGTTCACACCTATTACAGTCTAGCTATAGTCTACAACAAATGGAAAATGCTTTCTGGGAACTATGCTGCATCCAAAAAAAATGCAAGTTCTGAAGTTTAAGGCCTTGTGGTTACATTTCCTAATATCAAATCATTATTGTACTGGGCACCTAAAGGAACAAATGAAAAAAACGAATTCAAATCCTCCAATCACAACCCTAGAAGATGACTTTTAAATTCTTTGCAGTATTATTTTTTAATCATATCTTTGTGATATGACTGATGGCATTGCAAGGGTTAAAATATCCTCAAAATATCCTTAAAATATCAATTTATCACCAAGTAGACTGGCATATAGAAATAACAAATCTCTTAGCTTGAGGGTGTTAAGCTACCAAAACATCAAAATTTCTCAAATTCAGGGACTGTTCAACCATAAAAAGGGGTTATTCACATGTAAGATATCATGAGTTAAAGGGTGAACAGCATTTCCCACTTACAACTTGTCTTACAATTAATCATCAACATAAATATTATTGGCTATGGAATGATGACACAGCTCTCAATAATAATTGGTGAAAATTGCATTGTACCTGACAAAATTGCTTTGAGCTCATCAGATGCAGATTTACGCCTCTCTTGATCTAGAAAGGTAAGGGTAAAAATGCAATGTCAGTTTCTACTCTGGTGAATTACCTTAAGTATTTAATTTTATTTAAGTAGCAGTGACTAATCTTGCAGCGTGTTGCAAGTATAAGTATTGATAAGTAACAATTGTCCACATTACCTCTTTTTTCAAGCTCGTCATCATCAAATCCTTTAAGCTCCATGGTTTCAAACTGGCTTGATGGACCAAATGTAAACCATTCTGGCTCTTCATTTTGAATTTCTTTCACATGTTTTTTCCTGACTGTGAGCAGATCATTTACTATTTAAATAAGATTTCTACATTTTAAAGGAAGGAGTTTCATCTAATATTTTATCTTTTCCTAGAAGAATAATTTGTACAATGGCAATCTGATTCTCAATTTTTCTAAAAAAACTGTTACATGGTTAAATCATTTCCCTATGATTTTAACAAAATAAAGAAAAAAGGAGCTCAAAGAAGATTTTGATCATGTTCAACTTTGCTAATATCTATACAAATATGCCACATGCAAACTATCAATTGAAAGTAAACTTCCTTCATGTTTCATAGGTCATTCATAAACTGAGTTAAAGATGTAACTTGGCCACCATAAAGAGTTTCTACCATTGATGTCTCAAGCATCAGCTCTTTGTCAGAGTGTAACATTTCAAAGGTGCAATTCCGTGACACAAAACCCTAGAGTGCAAAATTACCATTTCACTTTAACCATTTAAACTAAATTATAGAATGATACTTAAAAGCTTACTACATGACATGCTGCTAAATGCCACTAAAGGTCACCAAATTGGTGATGTATACAGCAAATTTAGAAGCCAAAATTTTTTTGTTGTCATGGTGACCAAAACCCTTGCTGGTCAATTGCTGAACCTAGTTTTTACTCAGAGTTGATTGGCAGACTTGCGTTTCCTTGTCTACATACCATGAATATTTCTCCCTCTACTATGTTCTTCTCTATTTCGGTTTTGATCTTGATCTCTCTCCCTGAATCCTCTATCTTTCTCCTTGCCATAACTTCCACCAGCTCTGTCTCGCTCACCTCTCTCTTCCTTTTCCCTTAAACCTGAATATTTCCCTGACGGTTCCTCTGGATCCTGAAAAGTTTTCAATACAGTATCAAATGCATTCCTAATATCAACGTTTAGTATGATCTAACAGCTCAGTTGGTTTGCTCAACTGGGAGAATGTTAGACTGCTGTTCAGGAGGGCTTGGGCTTCACAAAAGACAATAACTCAGGGTCTTAAATAACAAGTCAAAATGAGCTGTCTTTGCAAAAACCTCTTTAACAGAGTAGAACTTCTATTCTACTTGGATCAGAAATGTACTCCATAGGTCTTGTCTCCTGCATCTTGAGTGTTATACTTTTAGGTGGGAAAATTGAAGTATGCACATGCTTGGCACTTGAAAAAAGGTGCAGTGTTTTTGGTGTTGTGCTCTGGCCTTTGACACAACCAAGTGCACAAAGAGCCAAAGACAAAGGTCTCAATAGCTGGACATTTTTTGCAAAAAAACTGTAAGGAGGCAAGCTCATTACATAACCTAGATGGTTTTTTTTAGAATAGTGGAGCTTCTAAATTCAATGTTCAATGACAGATAAGTTTTTGCTTGTAAATTTCTCAAATGTCTCCAACCTGAATGCTATAAAATCAGCTTTGAGTAAGAACAAGAATTACCAGCAACAGTTCAAAAGCTTCACCTTGTTCCTTTCTTGTAGAGGTGTGCGTTCTTTATAGTCCAAGGCCCTTCCTCTACCCACCCTTCCAGTGAGTCTACTCCTACCCTCCCTATCACGATCAGTTGTCCTGCTCAAACCTGTCTTCACTCTCTCCTGTTGGTTATTCCTTTCCGGTGCACTCTGAGGAATCTGACAGCCTTGTACAAAGCTTTGACGTTGAGGGCTCAACACTATACCATCCTCAATACTGAGATGGAAAAAAAAATTCCAAGTTTATTTGGAACAAATAAAAGATTAATCTCGATGTAGTTACTAAAAAAAAAAACAAAAACAAGAAAGTTATGCTTCTTGATCACAAAGCAAGATCAAAAAAAGTGGACAAAATGAAATAATAGTGTCAGGTAGTGTCACACAAGCATGGCTAACCTCTGCAGGAAAACTAAAAGACATGCTCTCAAGGCATTTTTGAAATTCTGTCATTATTCAGGTCACTTACAATATTGTAAAATTGTCATTGATTTTTTAATTGTATTTTAAGGCAAGCTAGGCAATCCACCAAAATTAGAAATTTATTAGACAGAGGTTTTTTCCTTGAACAAACATTTAAAAGCCTAAAGAAACTTAAGGCAGAGGAAGAGTTCTGTTAAAATTAAAAAAAAAAAATGATTAGCAATTAAACATCCTTCCAAAGAAAAAGAAGCCCTCATCATACAGATAAAAAAATAGAAAGGTGCATTCACTATGCACAGAAAACAAAGAAATCCAAACAATTATTTATCAATAAACTTCAACAGACTTAATTGTGATAAATTTCATTTAATAATGAAGGTTGGGTTTGACAAATTGACTCACCTGGGTGATACACAAATTCACGAAGTGTGTTTATGGTTCTGGTGCAACTTCAATCAGACTATGTGATTATTCATTTGACAGGTTACAACATATAGTGCTCTGGTTGCACACACTTAAATGCAAGTGACAAATTGCTTGATTGTATGCTCCCATTATATGGTCTGAACTGGATGGCATCATAGATGTAAACATTTCCACTGAATGGATCTATTAGTCAACCCTTTCACTCCCAAGATCTCATTTGTAATTCTCCTAACTGTCATTAATACAATTCTCATGATGCTAGCTTGGAGAATTTGGTATTGGATCTATTGATTATCCTTATCACTTGTCTGCATGATATTGAATTGGTATTTTAAGGAGAAATCATGTCTCAGTCACTCATGGGAGTCAGTTAAGAATGAAAGGGGCTTCCTTGTCTGGGATTAGGTTTTTTTAAAAGATAAAATAGCCAGAGTGTACCATGATTTTACTTACATGAGTTGTTTCTTGAGTTCCTCTCCTGGTGAGGTACATCTTTTTCCGCTTGAGTTAGATTGGTGCCAGATTTCAGGATCCCACACTCCCTGCCTTTTTTGATAAAAAACCAAAGACTAGTGTAACCAACATAAATACTTGACAATGTTACTGTCAAGAAACTTTGCAAATAACTAAGGTGACAAATCATTGGATATCTGTCTCATGAACAATCATATTCTACCATATAAAAGCTAATATGCAGGACTTGAAAAACTAACAAATACATTTAATAGATTTCTATGCTGAGCACACAACTTATGTTTTTCTTTTCTTGGTCACTTGTTCTTCATGGTGACAATCTATTTAGACTGAGCCACATTTTAATCCAATCTTATGTGGTGAGCATATTTTAAGCTGTATCCAGGACCTAAAGTTATGGTATCTGTGCCCCAAAGTGTATCAATAATTTAAAAAGATGATTTGCTTTTTCACTTGGTTCCGGTTGAAGTAGTGCATGTCATGTGGAGTTTATAATTCTAAGCAAAAACTCACTTGATTAAAATCGAACAACAGCCAAAAACAGACTGTCAAGTACAAAATTGATACCAATATAAAAATGGCTAAAATTGAGCAAGTCTATTTAGGTAAAATACATGTGTGTAAACAAATAAATTGTTATTTAGAACTTGTCTGCTTGATTTTGTATTGATATTGAAGGGAGAAATTCTGTCTTGGACACTCATAGAAGTTAAATGGTCAAAACTTAGTATTTGGAATCTGAAGATATCCACAATGGGAAATTTATCGGAGATAAACGTATCTTGATCTTTAATATAAAAAGTATCAATTTAATACTCAACTATTTATTTTTTTCTAATCAAAAGTATCAAACCTGATGTGTTCTTCTGAAAGAATAGATGGCCAGAGTTTTGATGCTGGAGACTCCCTCAAATTGAGTAACTCTTCCTAAAAAGTTAAACAACATACCAACATCACATAAACCACATATCTCGTTGTACTAAAAATTTGCACACAATCCCAACAAATCTGACATGCTCCGGTTATTTTATGAACAAAATAGTCTGTTTACTTATCCTCTCCGAGAAATTGAAAATTTCAAGGCGTATGACAGCTTAAAAAGTAGCGACACAAATTTTATTGTACAAATACAAAGTTGGCAGTTCCTAATTTGTCACCTTCGAGTACACAACACGTGGCGTGTTTTGCTCCGTTTCCCTCTCTCCTCTTTCAGCCGAGGCAACAAACTCTTCGCCTACTCGGGTAACTTTCTCTATGATAAGAAAAGCATTGATATAATTTAACATAACTTGATACGTACGGCCGCTATTTTTGGTTGTCTGACACAACGGTCGTCAACCGTGTCTAAAAAAAATGTTTATTGATGTTCTGTAAGGTACGAAAAAAACTTATTCATTCCACGTCTCGTTTTTACCTTGACCCGTCCAATAGCTACTTTGAAATCTACTTCTCCAAATATGTAAAATAAACATAGGTTTCAGAAGCTTGATCACAATCAAATACAAACTAACCTTGACTACACGGAGATGAAACCTCTTTTATAACGACATCGCCTTCTGTTGACAATTCGCCAAACTCCATCTAAAAACTAAGCGTTTTCAGTTGTCGAAAACCACGCAGAAACTTTCTTGAGAAGAGGTTAATTTCTGTATGAAGTTAACCTCGCGGAATAGTCCTGTCATTACAAAAGCTTGTGAAGTAAATCCTTCGTGGTAGCTACCTCGTACCTAACAGTTTGTCAATGTCCATTTTGAACTACGAAAGGAAACCACACATGTTCGCGCTTGCGTATTTACTATGCCTCGCTTCAGAGTGTATTTCCGCTTCCTCAGGGGAGGGACACTCTGGGGAGATTCGGAGGAGTACTGGTAACAACGACTTACTCCATAACGGAAGTAAATAGTGCCAGTTGGTGATTTCCTCTGGTGTGACAGTGACAAAATGAAGCAACGAGTTACAAACGGGGTTTTCCGTATCGATTGTTTTTACGCTAAAGGCGATCACCAAAAGAGGGAAAAAAAGATAGTTTCGAGTTATCGCGTTTGTAGGTTGACGCTCTTTGAATTTCGGAGGGTTGACATTGCGCTGATCGAATCAAATCATGAAAAGAAAAAAGAAGTCAGGGAAGCAAACAGACATGCGGCAAGTGGTATGGGCCGTAGTGTGGGCATAGTCATATGCACATCACAGAGATGATTTGGATCTAGCAGTCTGTGCTGAATAGGTTTCCCTTCGCATTCTTTTTATTCGCCAACTGAATCCGTGGGGGTTCTTGAGATTTTAACATGTACAGTCCCTTTGGCGATTGGAGCAGAACACGTTTAAACCGTGACGATGGTAAGAAGAGAGAGAATATGTTTACATCGCAAGTAGTCAGTCAGGAATCATGAAGAGTTTCAAAGTGAAAGTAAGTGGTAGCATGAGGGATACAACTAGAAGAAAATGCTGTGCTTGGCACCACAACTAGGCTTTTGAAAAAATCTCCAGAAATCAATAGCTGTTCCAGTGTTAACCAGTGAACAGTTCGTACTTCCTTTACCTTCGACACCCAACCGGATGTCAAAATTTCCGCTATTATCGAAAAGACCGATGCTGGCACGCTCACGCTCCACATCAAGCATTTACTATGTGCATTCCTGTGGTTTCTTTGTTTCTAATTGCATATTAATTGGCTGAAGCAGAGGCTCAAAACAAATACGAAACAGAGAAGGCTAAAACTCGGACGACTTTTTTCAACGGCGGAAAATAATCGTACTCCTGTGTCTACCAATCTCTTCCCCTTGGAAAAAAGATACAGAAGCGCCTACGAGAAGCACTTTTCACGCTTTTTGCATCTTAAAATATTATCCGTCGTTTACAATCCGCGCCAATCAAGTACATTCCATACCATCCTTGATCTATTCATGGTTTACAATTCCTTCTTTTACGGTTATCCACCCTGGCAAACTATTACTCAAAGGTTTCCCACGCTTACTGTCGCAGAAACGACTTCAAGCAGCGTAGGAGAGTTTATTTCAGCTTGTTAGCATTAAACATGAGGCAAAAACTACTTGTACTAAAACAACTGTTTTAATTCACTTATATCCAGAACAGTATCACACAGAGTTGGCACATTCTTCCTGCATGTTGGAAAATTGTTAGACACTATTAATGCAACAGGGAACGCGCAATACAATTTCCTGCCCAAACTCTTCGGTGCACCAAGAAGCGCAATCATTTTCCCAAAACGAATTCTTCGCCCTTCTTGATGTTCTTGGTCAGTTCGGGAATTACCTAGAACATATCATCGGAATCGTTAGGATTATTCAACGAACTCCACATTCAAGTGACAATAATTAGTCATAATAATAAATAAAGGAAGAGAAGACTTCCTTTCGTTATGGCGAGGTGCCGAGGAATTGTATCGCATATTCAATATAAAACTTACCTTACCTTTAGCCAACTTTTTGCCTGGGCTTACCTTGCCAATATTTTGGTTTCTAGAAACCGTTCTTATATGTTTGTTTGTTTGTTTGTTTTATAAAAAAGGTGATAAGCCTAAGTAAGGTCAAGGACAAACCCAAACACGACTACCGATGACGATCATCGTGCGAGAATTAAGTCCTATTACAACGGACATGGACGCATCACTCAAAGGGTAAAAATAAATGTGTGGTCTTGCAGCACATAGCAAACCAAGGCTGACAAGACTCGCATAAGGATATCAAGATAATCTAACAGGTTTCAACGATTCCCAAATATTTAGCCAGAACATCCCTAATTTTAGTAGTTCCCAAACACTTCTAATTTTAGTACTTCACAACAGAAGCACCTTTCCGATATTCATCTTTGCCAAACACTTTCCCTCCACAGTCTCAATGGGCGCAGCAGCACTAAAGACAAAACCAACGGCGGTAAAACAAAAACAGTTTTGTAATTTTGAGGTGGATAGAGGTTTTGTACTTTTTAAACATCTTGAGCGCTCGTAACTTCCACACATTTTCATTTTTCCTCCAAGCAAATGGTACAAAAAAAGTGCCCAATCAAGAAGACTCGGAACCACAGGTACAGATTTCTTTTTTTTCTTTCTTTCTTTTTTTTTTAAATTTTTTTTATTTTGCAGAATTATCGATCTTGATATGCTGACTGGAATGAAAAATGGAGGTCACAACTAGAGCTCGCTTTCAATTTGCAGGCTCCTAAAGGTAAAATTAAGAATTATATTTGGACGCTGTTGTGCCGCCACGGAAAAACGATCAATACATTTTGAGAAGTTGTTAGGAACATTTCATACCGTAGGAAAACACGAAAAAGTAGTATCGTTTTTTTTAAGAAGCGGTGAACAAAAAGAAACTTAATGGCTCAACTGAAAAATCAATTCATAAAGAAAAATGTTTTATGAGCCACGAGATCTCAATGTTTGAGGCAACACAAGAGAAGCGAGAAACTGGCTGCAAGTAAAACCTTACTGGCTATGAAGAGGATTACAAGCATGCTGTGCATAGAAGAAATGATTCAAAACGTGACACCAACCTCCTCAAGCTTTTTCTTCTCGTAATCTGAAAGCTCTCCGATTCCTAAGTTATCCTTCACACCATTTGGCTAGATGGAACGGGAAGACAGATAATGTATAGTGGAGACGATTGGAATGAAAAAAAGAAGACATATTAGTGGGAGAAGAATCCGTTTGAAATGGGGAAAGTTATTTTCTCCAAAGTAAGTTCAACCAACAATCATTTGAAGTGTAGAATAAACTATTGTCATCAGTTTTGATGACCTGTTACTGGTGTTTTTAAAGCAGTGCCAGAGCTGTCTTTTTTAAGGATAAACTTTATCTGGAAAACCTTTTAACCTGGCGATGGCTTCAGGTCATTACCGAACAAAGGGCACTTTCCAACCTGTGACATTGATATTTGACATATTTAGCTACGTCATAGGAGTAGTAAATGTTTTACACATTACTATTCTGAAACGGATGTTTTTACAAAGCTATGAAAACAAACTTCTGTATTTGGAAATAACACCAATAACTTTTGTTACACAGTCTCCAAGTAATTTTGAAATAAAGTAATCTTAGAAAGCCCCATTTACGCCGTTGTTTTCCTTGTTCCATACTCAGGACAAAAGTTTAAGACCTTTCTTGAACCAAAGCCCGAAATTCCCCACCTTCCTCTCTCCATCAGGAAGTTAGGTGGCGGCCATTCTTTAAAAAATGTGATAGTTTTGTAATCAGCTCAAACAAAGCCGTTAAAGAAGGACAAGACATTCCTTCGCCAATCATCTGAGGTTATATAATCACTTGAGAAAGTCTTACAATACATGACAAGCTAAACTGATCTTACCCCAAGCTCAACTGGTGAAGCAAAGTAGCCGGTGCCACAGATGTCTGACTTGATAAATGCACACTCCACTATCCCTGCTTTGCCGTTGAGTGCATCAAGAACCTAACAAATCATAATATGAGAATGAGTACTTCACACTTGTAACTACACACATAAATATCCATCTTTGCCAATTTTTGTCATAAATTCTCAAAAATTTAGTCTTGTACTTACAGATGCAGTAAACCTCGTTCCGGCATAAGCCATTGAAAGGGTAGCAGAACCCTAAAGTAACAAATGCACATTTGATATGATAAACAAAAATCAAAGTGCTCTGTGAGCAAACTCGTGAATTGACACATGATTTTGACAC